CAATGGCCCACGAAATCCCACGAAATTACAAGAGGTTCTCATGTCCTAGTCAGACATCACCTTAGTGGAAGGAGAAGGCATTAGCGGAGACATTCCACGCAAGCTTGTATCGTTGCGGCTTTTGAAGTGGGAAGTGGTAGAACAACAAATCCCGCATTCAAGTAGAAATCCTAGTCACATAAATGTCTTTTAGTACATTAAAAAAATTGTTTACAGACAAACAAAATATGACTGATTAAATTTGGAAAAGTAAATGAAATCAAAACAGAATGAGTAAAATGTTAAGATTTGTGTTAAAATTTGATTGTGTATATTTCTTTGATTTTACCCTTAATTGTGTACGTTTGGCTATTTGATTGCGCATGTTTGCATGCATATTTTAGATCTCGATAGTGTATAAAAATATGTCTTTAATTATGACATTTACGAGATTCTAATAGTCAACTTGGCGTGTAGAATCCCATAAATGTCAGGTTAATTGGTTACACCATATCCATATGAGTAGTTCAAAGAATTGAAAAGACGAATATACTAAAACCAAGTGATAACTCAAACACAAGAAATTACACATGGACTCAATTCGTACACCTTGCTTGTCTCAAATGAAATCATCAAGATTGTGTATGTTCAGTTGGACTGTGACCTTCAGAATGAACGTATGCTCAGCATAAAAGCTGACGTGAATGTTTTAAACATGTTTAAGAGGCATCTGCCACTACTCAACAAAGCCAGTATGTTTAATTGGCCATGTATTATATTTCGAGCAGATAACAGAGATATTACAATTGATAAATTAATATGTATCTAAGCAGATTGCTCGTCATTAAAAGAAAAATGTAAATATATGAAAATATGGTGATGTTATAAAAGTTTTTCCGACAACCCCTTCAGTTGAGTAGATACTTGACTTTTTGAAAGACGTTGCCACCTAGGCACAGTTGCCAACGTTTCGGCCGTCATACTGCGACCTTTCTGTGGGCGAAATAGGTGGAAGTGGACTACACACGAGTTTGTAACGAATGAGGTTCCCCTCCACTCGGCTGCCGGTTGATTGGACTATCGGCCAATGCGGAGAATCGATCAATGTTTCATTTTACGTGGCGATTTTCATGCCATCAGACCACGCAAATTTTGCTACGCCTTTTTCGAAATTAGAGGGAAAAAAAGGTATTACTTGGACGATGAGATAAGCGATTTGAATTAAGCTCTGCAACATCTTTTATGTTTGAGAATCTTTTACGCGCACTAAATTTACAACATAGGACAGCGCCTTCACTTCCCCTCCGAAGGAAGGCTTACGAAGCATTTTTCACCCTTAAAAAGCCACGGCTTCGATCGGGTTTGAATACGCGAATTTGGGTATAACTGTCCAATATGCTGTCCCTTACACCGCGGGAAAGCTAGGGCCAATCGGTCCCCCTGAGTGTGGCGGGAGAAGGGGACCACCGGTGGTCGGACGTCAGAGAGCAGCGGGAACCTCGCACTGTCGCCACCGGGGGTCGCGGTAAAATCACACGTTTCCAGGCCTTGCGGAGACATAAGATTAGGTCAGCATTAAAGTTTTGGGTGTTTGATGATTTCCATTGCCTCTTTTACCCGCCTCAGTTCCGAGCGGTCTTCCCTGTCCGGAAGGTGGGTTTTATCAAAAAGAATGGCGTGGCCAGTTTTCCATGTGTGGAAGGCTACAGCCGATTTATTTATATTATACTTGTGTGTTTCCGACTCGCCGATGTTACTGTGGCTGGGGAGCAGCTTCATCGAATCTTCTATATCCTAGATGTCAGAAGAGATGAAGCTAACTTTAACGCGTACCCAAGCTTTTCATGGACTTTGTACGCCGTGTTGAGGCTGAAACGGCCCAATTGCTTGCCAATTTTTCAGTGGCCGATTGGTCAATCGTCCGACCAACCAGCAGTGAGATGAGAGGAACATCATTCTTGCCATCAATCCATGCATAGTCCACCTACGCGCATTTCGCCTTGAGGAAGGTCGCATTATGACAGCCGAAACGGCAACGGTGACGCTGAGTCTAGGACGCTACGTCTCCCGAACATCCAAGTATCAGTTGATTCTGGTCGCGGAAACCTATGCCTCTCTTCAGTTGAGGTTTTATTAGAGAATGTGTTGTGTTGAATTTTCTTTTATTTGTTGGAAAAGAGCAAGAACTTGATTAAAGCACTATAATTGACAGTATTTATTTCTTAGATGTTAATCATAAAAGCAATTAAGTTATTGTTTTAAAAATAAGGAAATATTTGGAAAGATATCCATTAATGGGAATAAAACTTAATTTATAAACACACAAATTGCATATAGTACAAAAAGCTACTCAGCACTCAAACTACTATTTAGCATCAAAAATTGTATTGAAACAATTAAATAATAGGAATGAAATATTTTTATTATGTAGCTTTTAGTACAAGTGACAACAATTAGAGTTGGATCTTCATACATTTGTTAGAAATGTATTGCAACTATGGTTATGAGGATGACTGATCTATTTTCCAATTGATGTAATATTTTAGAATATTCTTATATGTATACATTTGTACACATTCTATCAAATGAAAATGTAGGGTAATTTCAAATCTTACAATTGAATGATGAATTCCGGGTATGGACTTTGCTTGCCAAGGTAGCTCATAATTAAATTTTTCACCACAAAATATTACTTTTCCACTACTAGGAACATTAGTTAACTCCAGTTCTTCATCTTTTGCTATGTCTCTCAATAAATGGTCTCTAAAGGCAAGTGCTGTAACTGTTATCAATGGGTTAGGGAACAAATGAATTGATATTTGTTAAAATAGCATCTGTCACTATTTTGTGAAAATTAATGTTTTTTTGCATTTCGGATTCTTCATGGTTAAATTGCAGTTTGATGTTAAAACGTCATTTCTGGTATTGGTACTCAGAGAACTAATATTGTAAGTTTTGTTACACAAAACATGAACATGGACTCTGGAGTCATAAGACAGACCCTATGAAGACATGACAGGTGTTACACTATCTGTGAAATAACGAGGCATATTATTAAAAGTGCAAAACCTTTGAAATTCATGGTAAAGGAAGTTGTAGGATCCGATAGTATTGATTTCAAGAACTGGTGGAAGCCCTTGTACTAAAAGATAGTTGTCTCAGAGGAGGCCAAACCTAAACTAAGAAGTGAGAAAGTCACATTTTCTGTGAGCAGGTTGTACCGTTACGAATTCAATTCAGGGAGAAGATGCATATAAGGGCACAATTCCATAAGAGGGCTCATCTATCATTCATTTATGTCAATTACAATTATTTCATTCATTTATTTTATTTAATCAAATTGTCACAGAAGTCATACATTGAAAAAATCAGACTGTAATACCTGCAGAGCATATGCAGTTTTATGAGAGTGTACTAAAGTACTAAATTTCCCACAGAATATGTGGTGGAATACAACAAGAAGAAAGGGAATATTTAAGTTCAACTGAAATGATTTTGTTGTTTAATCAAATACTTAATTCGTAAATTTTTAACAAGCTAAACATTAATTTGGTATATATATTTGAAAAATATACATATCTA